AGTGAAGAGGAGGATGAGGGGGTGGAAGTCATCCCTCTGCCTGAGAGGATCAAAAAGAAAGTGGAAGTAATGAGGGAGGCGGCTTCTGAGCCTCCCCAGCATGGCCGTGACGATGGTCTGTTAGTAACTGGCAGCAAAGAGCTGCAGGGAACGCTGGTGTCATCTAGAGAAGGGTCTTGTGGCAGCCAAAATGGCACGAGCCGTGTTGAGAGCCCCTCTTTGTGCCGGCTGTCAGCATCGCCGTCTGGCTCTGTAGACCAGTCCCCTAGCAGAACAAGCCCGGAAACATCCCCCCCTCTTAAGAAGCCAAAATATAGTCAGAAGGAAAGAGAGGCAATCTGCCAGGCTGCGTGGCAGAAGAGGAAGGAGCGAGAAGCACAGAGGAGGCAGAATGAGCTGGAGAAAGAGAAGAAGAGGGCCATTGCCAAGATGCTGAAAGCTCAGCGACCAGGAGAGTGCCAGAAATACATAACAGTGGTGCTAGATTCAGGTACTTGTCCTCACAGCCTGCATCTGCCTTATATTGACTGTCAGCTCTTGCTGTGGAAGCCTGACCCATGCACCAGTTTCAGTTCTCTTACAGGTAGAAGGTGGCGGACAGATCCTTAGTGCTTTACAGGCTGCAAATTACTCCTGTGTGGTTGAGAGTCAGGCTGTTCCTTGCAGCATCACCTGGAGGAGAAAGACTGTGTCACCTCAGGTGTGTGAGCAAAAGCTCAATGTTCTTCCTCTGTTATCTGAGCTCATTAGTAATTGTATTTATTAATCCAAGTAAATACCCTCTCATCTTCTTCCTGCCTTAGAGCTCTGAGTGGGACCCCTGGTTTGAGTGAATTATAAACAGGCTGTTGGTCTGTCTGTTTTTATATCCGGACAGATTGAAGGAAGAGATGAATGGACAGAAGAACCAAATGTTCTGCTTCTGCTTTGCTTGGAGGAGTTTTTGTCCATGGTTCACAACTACAAACAGGTGAGAGTGCTTATAGCTTTTGTGCTCTCGAACATGCCTTGCTGTAAGGGTGGTGGTTGTCATCCCTCTTCACAGCAGGAAGGTTTTGATGTGGGGTGGAGCTATGGTTTCAGTAAAACAGAAATCTGACTTTAGAAGCCATTATTGGATCAAAACCCCGAGGGTTGTATAATGCAGAGTTCTGACAAGCTTTCTTTCTTAGTTACAATTTTTCACAGATTTTTAAAGAGGTAACATTGTCAGATCAAGTGGGATTATTTTTTATTTCTTTCTGCCATAACTTGACACTGAATCAGCTGTTGCCTGCTTGCCCCTAAAGAGGGGCAGACTTTCACCTGCAAACCCAGCCATAGAATCAGAGCCATAGGTTCCTGGGTTTGCCTGCGTACCTCAGAATGGTTTAACTCCTTTTTTTCTGCTGATCTTTGCAGGAAGCTGAGGGCCATTTGGAAGGACAGGAAACCCTACAGAGCTATGTAGCTCAAGTGATGGAGAAAATGCCTGGGAAAATTCTGGCACTGGCAGGAGTTGGAGTAGAAAATTATTTCAGGTTAAACTTTTTTTCCTCCAAATGTTTCTCTGTTGTCCCTGGCCTTGAAAAGTACTGTAGGTGTTTACATTAAGTCCTTCTAGCAAAGACTGGAGCATAAGAGAGAACTGCTCCAGTATTTGTGATACAGAAATGGAAGCAAAGGTCCATCCAGCCTGTCACCACAGTGACCAATGGCAAATACCTGGGGAAGAGCATGTACTCCCAGTCTTACTCTTGGGTCTCTCAGGGTTCGGTCAAAGAAGAGACTGCAACAGGCAGCAGCGAGTGGAAACCAAGAACAGAAACAGGGAAAACGGAGAAAAAAGAAAATTACGGATTCTGGCCTGGAGATAACCAGAATGGACGTGGAAGAAGTGAGTACCTTTAAAGCAGGCATGCAGCCGTCATCTCTTGTCTACCCTTGTCTGAACATTTGACCCAATCACACAATTCCTTGGACAGGGGCATTCAGCCTTCGTTAGTCTGTGTGTCTGCGGACAGAGCTCTTTGGGTTCAATTCCCCGCTGCTCAGGGAGGTACCTGCTCTCCCACGGGCTGACATGTCTCATTCACCTTGATCCTGGGCAGTGGATCATCAGTCTGTCGGCATCTCTCGCCCTTTGTGGCCTGTGTGTAACAAGAGTGGTGTCAGCTGGAACGGTGCTAAACTGACAGACTGCCCCTGAACACTGCCGTGCCTTAAATTAACTGTGCCCAAAATGGGGAGAGAGTCGATGTTCTTGTCTTATAGAAAGATGTTATGACTCTTTTTTTTTTTTCTTCTTCAGACAAGAGTGGGGTTTGATGCGAGAATATCACCGAAATTGGGAAATAAACTTCTTAACACCGGTGTAGTCTTAAGAAGCAGCACTTATTTATTACAGCGCTGGATGCACGGGGGGGAGGATCACTCCACCTATCGTGCATACCCACTCATCTCTCTACAAAAGCTTTATACCATCAAAATATGCATATTCATTACTTTCCCAACAAGTCATTAACATATTCATTACATTTTCAGGAATGTATTAATATATGTAAATGTCCCTTTCGCATGAACACTCTCTCCATGGTGGTCGCCATCACTGTGTCCTTTGGTTGTACTTTGCCTTTGTGCATGCTCAGCTCTTTCCTGGTCCTGTCTCCAGCACTTCTGTCTACCTTGTCCCAAGGAGTTGGCTCAACATGTTCTCTTGTCACATCCCAGTGGTCAGTAAAACAAAGAGTTTTGATGCTTCTATGAACACTAAATTAATAAATTTCAATTTATGAAATCTATCTATGACGAAGATACACTGTTCTTAACTCCAGGACTAAGGTAATGATTAGAACAGGCCTGGGACTTTACAGTCTCTTCTTGGTGAGGTTTCTGTGATTACCTAGTTCAAACCCAACAATCCTGACTTACACATTATGCTTTACAGTTTTCTACTTCTTTTAATCAAACCCAACTCTTTTATATGATCAAATTTTGATTATTTTATCAGAGTACTTGCAACAAGAAGATTAATTGTTCCGTTTGTTGTTTCCAATGATGTTTACAGGCTTTGGTGGATCTGCAGCTGTGCAAACAAGTCCAAGTCAGCTTTTTTGACACCTGGGAAGAACTTGGAGAGTTTGCTACGATGTTCACAAAAGCTGTAGCTGAAGCACCGTTCAAGTGAGTGAGCAGATGAGGTTTGGTCTTTCCTTCTTTGGAGGGGCTGCACTTTCACAGTTGCTGGGAGGCTATAGCAGGTACCTGGCTGTACTTCAGTACAACACAGGATAATGATTTTTAAATGAGCATGTGACACAGAGCAGCTGCTAATGCAGCTCATTCAGCACAGGGTTAGTTATTGGAAACTGATATCCTGCCTGGGGAGGGGCAAGGACAGACCCTGATTTCACCCTAACAACAAGCAAATGTGGTGTTCTCAGTCTGATTTTAAGAGTGGGAAGGGAACACGAGTAGGGTTGGGCTCATACTGCACCAGCTTTTCTTCTTCAGTATGTAACCAAGAGAGAAGTTAATGAGAACGACCCATTTAGCTGCTTCCGTTGATGAGGAAGGACAGCAGCGTGTTGCACAGCAATAGCTAAGAAAGCCATCTTGTGCAGCCTCACGCAGCCCTGGCATTGCTGTCACAGCAGATGCTGTATTTTACATCTCAGCCATGAGGAGAGATGAGATGTCATTAAAAATAACATGTAAAAGTGTTTTATTATGGTTGACAGTCAGAAACTCAGTTCTTGTTTACCGCTTTGTGTGCGTGTTGGTTGTGTCAGGATTGCTCTCCAGGACAGGATTGTTTCTTTTTCTGTAGGAAATCTGTGCCCTAAGGAAATTCATAATGCATGTAAAGAAAATAGGGTCAAATTTTTAGCGTTTACTCTGATGCCAATGGTGTCTGTAACAGCATGGAGTGAGAAACAGCTCTCTGGCTATGTGACAACAGATGCAGGAACAGGATTTTCTTCCTAGCCTCACTGTCTCATTGGCTTTCCCATCCTTTGTTCTCCCTAGGCGAGAGCGAGAGAAGACGGAGTTCCCCTTCTACTTAGAGAAGAAGTGGTGTGGAGGGGTGAAGGTGGATCCTTCTGGAAAGGGTCTCTTGGAAGTCTGGAAGAGGCAGATACAACAATTTAACCGGGTCAGCCGCGAGATGGCTGAGGCTGTTGTGTCTGTCTACCCTTCTCCTCAGCTTCTGAAGCAGGTGAGGATGCCTCAGGAATATCGTGTACTGTGTGCAGCCAGCCAGCTAAAGGAAGGAGTGAAGAAAATCATGTCACTGGTATTAAATTCTGTCTGGGCTGTTTAGTAATATAGTGAAAGAACCGACTCCTTGGCACCCATTGCTTTGCCTTCACAGAGCAGGCTGCTCAGGGAGCAGTTCTGGTACCGGTTCTGCATCAGCCTGTAAGCTCACAGCTGAGATCTGGGGAGAGACCAGGTGCAAAATGAGCGGCCGTTGTGAAAGGACAGAGCAGTCACAAGTGCATAGCTTTGATTATTTTTGTGAGCCATGGATGCAGATGGATGATACCATTGTTCCTTTGTGTTGTTTTTAGGCCTACAGCAGATCCTCCTCGGAGGAGGAGCGGGAAAACCTGCTGGCTAATATCCCTGTGCGCCGCGGTGACGGTGTGACAGCCACCGTCCGGCGGATCGGACCGGATCTCTCACGGCGCATCTATCTGCAGATGACTTCCTGCAATCCTGATCTCTACTTGGATTTCACTGGGTAGCCCCACGGAATGGGGATTTTACTGTTTGTTTGGTTTAAGCATTTAGCTTCCTTCTGGGACACAGATAAGAGTCATTAATCCTAATTTAAAACTTTAAGGACCTGAGGCACATTTAGACTGTGTTGTAGCAGAAGGTTGGATAAAGTTGCTGAGTGTCTGAGGGTTACACAAGAAAGAGGGTGAACATCTTCCATAAGAGCATGAGTTGGACATGCTTATAGTACTAACAGTTCCTTTTACTTGTTTTCCTAGAAAATAAATAATATTGAATAATAATAATAATGGTCTTTGCTTCTTAATGTGCAGCCTTGAATACAGACAGGTATGTCACCTGTCGAGGGGAATACTTTCTACTGCTGCCCTAAACTACAAGTAGTTATCTACTCTCTCCAACTTGGAAATTCCTAATGCTGAAGTGAGGTGGTGCTGCCCCCTCAGCACCTGCTCCAGTGAGGTGGAAGAACTTTCCCTCACAAAATAGATGCTGAGTTTTCCGCTGTGGCAGATGGGAATGAGTAAGACTAATTTTCAGATATAAATTTAGATTGCCCTGATTCAGTCTCCAGACGATTTAATCTATAGAGGGTCTGGAAATCTGATGATATATGCTGGAATTATGAGGTCTAAACAGCTGTCAGAAAAAGCTTTCTTTTAATTAGACTGGGGAACACGCTTGCCTGTCCATGGAGCCATTAGCGCTTGTGTGTGCACAAGGACAGCCGAGGTCTTTCACGACAGCAGCACTTACCGAGATGAGTGCTGAGAGTGAATTAAATTGCGTGATGAGTTAAATACCAAAAGCAAAGCAAATTGCTGCGAAAACTGCTGTATTGAAAATTTTCAGCTCCTTTCAATAGTACATCAGCTTCTTTGCTCCAACATACGGATGCACAGCCATCCTACACACTTGTAATTGGTCCTGGAGTAGGCCTTAATGTCTTATTCCCATACAGCCTTATGTCCTGGTTTTGCTAGGATAGAGTTCATTTTCTTTTTAGTAGTTAGAAGAGCCGTGTTTTTGTTTCAGCAGAACTTGTTAGGAGAAGAATGTTGATAAGATACTGGTGTTATCAGTTGCTGCTGGAGCTCACAGCCACCATGTTCGGCTGGGTCACAGCTGCATTAGGACTGGGAGGGAGAAGCACAGTGAATAGCAAAGCTCAGACCTGGCATTTGGATGTGCCAATGAGATATTCCAGATCGTATCACGTCATGTCAGTATATTAACCAGGGCTGACCAGAAGCCGGGGGTGTTCTCTCGGGGATCACTCGGGCTCTTGCTCTTTGAGGGTTTCAGTTTGGGACTGTCTCTGCTCCGGGATCGCTGGCTGGCACAGGCTGGGCATTGGTCAGCGAGTGGTGAGAAATTTCACTGTGTAACACTCATTTGCATATTCTGTTATCACTGTTATAATTATAATTTTAAATTCATAAACAGTTTTTATCTCAACCCGTGAGTCCTTGCCCTTTCCTTTCCAATTCTCTCCCCTACTCCCTGGGTGAGGGAGGGGGAGGGTGATAGAGCAGGCTGTGTTTGGCTGCAAGCAAAAAGGGTGAATCCACCCAAACCACCACACCATATCACCACGTTTACACAAACAGAAATGACAGCAAGGAACGGGTAAAATTAAAAACCTGCTACCTCCAGCACAGAGCTACAGCTACCCAAATGACAGGAGCGCTGGGTTTTTCCACTCGTATAGACTGGCAGCTCTGTGTATCTCACAATCAAGGTAAACATCCCTCGTAAGATGGTAAGAACTGTTAACGAGTTTAGGTTAATGGGGGCAAACAATGGGAGTTACAGGCCAACTGCGAAACATGCACAGCAAAGGTGATCTGAACAAGAACTCTGCTCTGTGTGGAGTGGACCAGCAAACCAATGCTGACCGATTAAAAGCAGTTTCATCAGAACACAATTCCATAGGAATTCTGGCTGCGTAGATGGTGGAGGGAGATGCTGATGAAGCAAGTGCCCGTCCAGGACAATCACTGCTGCGAGTTCTGTTGCAGCATATTTTGCAGGGTTTTGTGGTTTTGCAGAGCGGCTAACACGTCCTCGTAGAGAGTGTTGACGCTGATGCACAGAGGTTGACGTTGCAGCTCTGTCAGCTTGCAGGCGGCCAAAGTACAGAGGACGCACAGCAGCGCGAAGAGCAGGACCCGCAGCACCGACCGCGACCAGGAGCGCTTGTGCCGGGGCGGCTGAGGGGGACGAGAGCCGGAGGTGGGCTCTGTAACGAGAACATTTACAGGACAGAGAACGTGAGGAATTAATCAAATATCTTTAACAGTCTACATGCAGAAACAAGCTGTTCAGATAAGATACTTCAGCCTGGGCTGCAGTTGTCTTTTGTCATGAACTGTCATCACCTAAGTCTGATTTATAAGTAGCTGCATGAGATCTAAGTGTTTAGGATGAAAAGTTTCAGATTTAGTTTCATGGGCAGCGGAGAACAGGGTGTAAAAAACATCTGTGTTGCACAAGACCTGGTTTTGCCTACATAGTTCAGTAGATTTAAAAAGAAATGAGTACAAGGAAATTCTTAGGAACAGCTGAAGAACCTTCTGAATCTTGTAGCTCAGCAGTTCATCGCGAACAGAGGAACAGGGGAGAAGGGCACAGCAGCAGAGCTTTTGAGAAGTCCTACAGGTTCCCCCCACTCCCACCATCTCCCAGAACCTGGGCAGCATAAAAGCAAATCTGGCAGCATTAAAACGTGATGATGATGAAATGTGATGCAATCCCACCCAAAATGGATACTACTTACTTCGGGTCTGCACAGTTTCTTTTTTAGTTTTCTTCTCCGTCTCCTGTTTTGCAGCTTTTTGAGCGTCATACTCCCGTCTCCTGCGTTCCTTTTCTTCTGCCTTCTCTCGCTTCCTCAGTTCCCTCTCTTGAGCCTCCTTTGCTCGCTGTTCTGCTTCACGCTTCTTCTCCATTTCTGGGGATTAATAGGAAGTTTTTTCCTTGTATTTAAAGGGTTGTCATTGCCTTCTTCCTTATTACTTGCTTATCTGTTCCCAATTGGAATGAGGAAACCAATCAAACTATTATCCTATTTCTTTATCTTTGGTTTTTTTTTTAATATTGCATACCTTGCAATTTGTTCCCTCAGAATTAGGCTTCCCTTAAAATAAATCCTGTGCTGCTCTTTCATATTTTTTTATAGGTAACCTATAGCATATTCCATCAGGCAATAAATGGCATAGTTATCTTTGGCTGTCTTTCTCCCTCCAGCTCTCCCACCCTGCTACTCCCAGAGTCCTCAGGATTTTGATAGTTACAAGTATTTGTGAGATGGCAATTTATCAGATGGCAATCAGTCCGTTTGGGTGTGTAAGAGAGATCAAGAACAGTCCTTGGCAGATGGTGCGTGAGGGCTCTTTGGTCTTACCTCGCTCTGCTTGGAGCTTCCGCTGCCGCTGTCGGTCCTGCTCGGACTGGATCGCCTTCATGTGCTGCAGTACCTTCAGGGCCCAAAAAAACAACCTGAGGTCTCTGTGGAAGACTCGTCACACAGTCAGTTCAAAACAGAACCACTGGTGTGTAGCTGAGGACACACAGCTGGGGCTGACCACCAACCCTGACCTACCCCTAAGCTACGGCTCTGAAGAGAAAGAGAGCTCACACCTTCCCACGTGAATCTTTGCAGTTAAGAAACAGATCTTGCCGTTAAAAACCAAACCTGCCAAACGGTGCTAGCTGACACAGAGGACCACAGAACTCTCTATTTATGTGAGCCCATCGTTTGCCAGAACTTCTCCAGAGACTTTTGTACTCTGGACTATAAGCCTAGACATGGATTATGTTGTCTGATTATGCCTCCACTTCCTTGGCAACCAAGATTTAGTCCTCTCTTAACTCCACTAATGGCAGAGAATCCTACTCAGCCCCGGGTTTGCTCTCTACAGGCACAGAAGAAGTGAAGGCAGCACAATGAACCTGCACTGCGCTGGCTGAGGAAACTTCAAACTGCTGCAGCAGCCGCCCAGCTTGCTAAGCAAAAAGAGGAAGAACCACCATAAAGTAAAATAAGGAAATAAAGAATAAAAGCAGATTCCTTACCTTGACAGCGGCCTGTTTACACTGCTTCTCATCCAGACAGTCTCCTGCTACTTTAGCCAGGACAGGATCCAGGGGATTGTCCTTCAGATCCAGCCACTTCAGGTTCTGCAGAAAGGAACGATAAAGGGGAGGCTGTAAGAGTATAGTAGTCTTGCAATTATTTAAGAGATCCAAAGCAGAAGCAAAGAACTTCTCTGTTTTCACATGAACGAAACAGGTAGGGAAGGCAAGCAGAGAGCTTGAGCAGAGCCATTTTCAATAGCTGTGAGATAATTTCCACCGAGCTGCAGTGCAGAGCCAGCTGAATTTCAGAATGGGTAATCAGCAGGATGGATGCTTTACCAGAGAAATCAACTTGAGAAGGATCACAAGACCCTGGGCTGCATCCCAAAGCTTTACATAACTGCCCAGCAAACAGTTTTACCTTGAGCTGTGCAAAGCTGACTGGCAGGGTGACTAAACGGTTGTTCAGGAGGTCCAGGTGCTGCAGATTGACCAGGCGGCCAAAGTCCAAGGGCAGCTGCTGAAGCCGATTTTTACTCAAATCCAATTTCACCAGATGCATCAAACTGCAGAAATCTGACTAAAAACCCAAACACAACCCAGAAAAAGCTTGTCAGCACCTGTACGAAGGAACCTTAGCATGGAGAAGGTGAAGATAGCCCACACCTTACATAAACCACAAATCCTGAATTTACTACATAACTGTGACGGAGGAAAATCACTCTCCTCCTTTGCCTTGGAAGATGGAGGTAGAAAAGAGTGGGACAGGCAAGACAGACTGACAAGATGACGTGGAGCAATACAACTGAGACACCACCACCGAGTCTCCACTGCTGATGAAACTGGTCTGTGTTCACGTGGCGATCCTCTGGCAGGAGGACACTGCAATCTCCACACAGTGCCACGCTCTTCTCCAGAGCCACCACCCGGATGACCCCTCAATGGCAGCAGAGCCGCCCAGCCACCTCAGCAGGAGGAAAGTGCCAGATCCCAACCTCCCGCTGAACCCTTCCTGACGCACCAGTCATCTCCTCTAAACACTTCCCAGCAGATCCATCCCCACAGAGCCCCTCTAGCCCCTTACCGGCAGGGAAACCAGGTTGTTACAGGACAAATCCAGTATCGTGGCTTTTGGAAGA